TTTTGAGGGTAGGAGTTGAAACAGTTTATGTCCAGGATGTGAAGGATCTGTAAAAAAGAAATCCCTAACCCCAAATCTACCTATCTATCTATAAAAGCGAAATACCACTCATGCATCATCACAAAATCTCCAGAACTTTAAAGCCTACAAACTTGAAATTTGGCGCATATGTTCCTCTTGGCTTCTAGGTGCTCACTAAGAAAGGATTTTTCAAAATGACCATCAGAGCATTAGTATTTCCTATATTATTATTAATACGCTCTGATGCTAAGGAGTTCTACTCCCCCTCCCCACCTGAAAAGAAATCTGTTCCAAATGCAAAACACAAGCAGAGGAGAGGAGTTTCAGTTTCAGTTTCACAGCACCAAGCAGCTTCAGTACAGAACAGTTGAGCTAAGCCACGCCCAAGCTCCTTGCTGTCTCTTCCTTGCTCACACAGCAAATACTGTTTCAGTTTCCAAACAGCCCTCAATTCTCTCACATACTGACAGGACACTAGCCAGATGAATACCGGTGGATGCTGGTAGGCGGAGGCAGAATTTTTCCCCCTTATTTTTCCTCCCAAAAAACAAACCCGACCACATGTAGTTTTGTAGCGCAGCACAGATTTTGAGCTAAGTATTTTAAGTAATTAAGTAATAAATTGGCACACATTTCCATGTATGTATGTATGTATGTATGTATATGTGTATGTATGTATGTATAACATCGGTATATACATTGGCACTGTAAGTCCATCACATTAAGCCTGATTGTGGTGGTATGTTGCATTTAGTAGTCTGATGGCCTATGGATAAAAGCTATTTAGCTATTTTTTTATCCAATTTGTCTGGCTGGCTATTCTACTGTATATACTCTGCATGATGGGAGGAGAATAAAGAAATGCCATCCAGGATATGAATCGTCCCTCAGGATTTTCCTCACTCTGCTGAGACAACAGGACCTGGCAATTTCATCCAGTGAGGTTAGGGAGCATGATTTTTGGTGCTGTGCTCATCACCCTCTGTACCGCCATCTTGTCTGCGGCTATTAAGCCAGCGTACTATACCGTTACATAATATGTAAGGGTGCTTTCTATCATGGACCGGTACAAGGAGCCGTTGTTCCAATTCAGACAAAATTGTTATCTAATCTCTTCTTAAAAACTTTCAGTGCTGGAGCATTCACAACTCCTAGAGGGCAAGTTGTTCCACTGATTAACTGTTCTAACTGTCAGGAAATTCCGCCTTAGTTCTAAGTTGCTTCTCTCCTTGATTAGTTTCCACCCATGGCTTCTTGTCCTGCCCTCAGGTGCTTTGGAGAATAGCTTGACTCCCTCTTCTTTGGGGCAGCCCCTCAAATATTGGAACACTGCTATCATGCCACCCCCTGGTCCTTCTTTTCATTAAACCAGACATACCCAATTCCAGCAACTGTGCTTTCTATGTTTCTATTTTTTAAAGTCAGACTTTGCCCAGGACTGTTCTCCCTTGAATTGAAATGACACACATTCAAACCATTTTACACATTGCTAGAAAATATTTGTCAGAAGAAGTTTTCTCTGGTTCGTTTCCAGCTGTCAGCAAACCAAAGAAATAAACATCGAAGGGAGCTTGCCTGGAAACGAAGCTTTAATTCGGAAGTCAAAGGACAGTGAAAAATCCTCCTCTTTATGGCAGCCCCTCAAATATTGGAACACTGCTATCATGTCATCACTAGTCCTTCTTTTCTCTAGAGTAGACGTAACCATTCCAACAACTGTCCTTTATATGTTTTAGCAGCCTCATCCTTGATTAGGGGACTGGGGGCAAAAGAGATCTAAATTCCATTATCTTAGGGTAGGATGTTACAGAAGCATTTCTCAACTCCCCAAAATCACCCAGATTCCCTCTTCTAAAGCTCACCTCTGGCAAATTTTCCAGTGCAGAAATGTTTCTTTTGCAGCTTTCTGGAGTCCCCCAAGACAAGAAGGGGACAAGCTTTCTCAGATCAGCCTCTTAGTTTCCCCAGGACTGCGGGCATGATGAGATCTCTCTTGCAAGCAAGGGAGAGAATAACATGATGCCACCGTCTCCTTCTTTAGGATGGGCTGCATGCATAGATGCCCATCACTCTATGCCCCTTCAGGATAAGCAGCATCGCACATTGCATTGTTATTATTGTTATTGGTTATAGCCGCCATACTTTTACTCTTTATGAGAAGCAATGTAACCCTAGACTCTTCTACCATCTAAATAAGGGTTAAAGAAAGAGAGTGTGCTATTTCCTAGAGTGGCAAGATTCTGGGCAAGAACCTAAGGAGTTGCCCTAACTGATCCAATGATGTTCTTTTTTGAGGCTGGAAGCCAGTTATGTGCACAAGTCGCCACCTGGTGGCTGTTTCCTGCAGAACTTGAAACTTCTGAGCAAGAATATACCTAGAATCAGAGGAGCATAGGGCTGGAAGGAACCTCAGAGGTCTTCTAGTCCAACCCCTGCCCAGAGTAGGAGGCCATATTGCATTAGAGACAAATCGCTGTCCAGCCTTTTCTGGAAGACTTCCAATGATGGAGCACCCACAGCTCCCGGAGACAAGCTGTTCCATTGATCAAGTGTTCTTTCTCACTGTCCAGGGAATTTCTTCTTAGTTCCAGATTGGATCTCTCTTTAACGAGCTTCCATCCCTTGCTTCTTCAGGTTTCTATACTTGAAACCAAGCAAACAAAAGCGACAAGAAAAAGATCTCTAAGCAAGTGGCCTATTTCAAATGCTTTGATTGATCGATTGGTTACATGCCATCAAGTTGTTGTGAATTCTTAACAGCCACATAGACTTTCTCTATGTCATTCATAGATAGATAGAGAGAGAGAGAGAGAGATACAGAAATATAGAGAAAAAGATATAGAGATATGATATAGATAAGAGAGAGAGAGAGAGAGAGAGAGAGAGAGAGAGAGAGAGATGTAGAGATATAAAGAAATAGAGATAGAGAGATAAAGAAATAGAGGTATGATACATAGATATGATTGACAGACGGATGGATAGATAGATAGATAGATAGATAGATAGATAGATAGATAGATAGATAGATAGATAGATGTGGAGATATTCAGAAATACAGATAAAGATATAGAGGTATGATATGTAGATGATAGATAAATAGATGTAGAGATATAAAGAAATAGAGATAGAGAGATAAAGATATAGAGGTATGACAGATAGATAGATAGATAGATAGATAGATAGATAGATAGATAGATAGATAGATAGACAGACAGACAGACAGACGTGGTTATGCAGAAATACAGATAGATAAAGATATAGAGGTATGATATGTAGATGATAGATAGATAGATAGATGATAGATAGATAGATAGATAGATAGATAGATAGATAGATAGATAGATAGATA